TAGATAGGAAAAGAAATAAATCTGCCTCGTCAGTCATGTATCAAAAGATACATGATCGTCTAAGCGTGTATCGCGCATGGCACATAACTGACTGATCTTACGTTCTTGAATGGAATAGCCATAACGCTAATGAACTTATTCAACCCCAATGTTTAAAGGTTTTCTGTAAAATTTCCCTGTCTATTGATTAACTCTATTGGTTTTAATGGATCAGTCAAGATCAAAACATCACTTTACACGAGAATTGATCAAAAAGTATCGGGACTGGCGTTATGAACAGAAAACTACAACATATATCAATTCGGCATTTAATTCCCTTCGAAGTAGTCTCTTTCTGAAGTCGCATATTTTATCCAGAGTCGTTTCCATTGATGGAAGTATCCCTGGGACTCCATTTGTTTGATAGCATGAAGCTGCCTTCTCGTCGCCTTCTTGTTCCTTTCTAGATGTTTTTGATTTTTGGAAAGAGGAGTAAGTCAAAATGGCCGAGATTTTTTTTTTAATCATTTCACTCCGAGCAAAGTGGGGAATGCCACTAGTACGTAGGTGGTTACAGAAATCACGTTATATGAGGTTTGATCAAAAATTATCGGGACTGGCGTTATTAAACGAAAACTACAACATGTATCAATTCGTCATTTAATCTCCTTCGAAGTAGTCTCCTCCTGAAGTCGCATCGCCAGCGTAGTTTCCATTTATGGAAGCATTCCTGTGTGACCCCTTTTGTTTGACAGCATGAAGCTACCTCCTTGACGCGTTTCCCTGGATTTCTTGTTCCTTTCGAGTGGGGTTTGATTTTTGGGGAGAGGAAAACGTCAAAATGGGCGAGTTTTTTTCCCTTTTTAATCATTTCGCAACGAGCAAGGCGGGAATGCCACTAGTACACAGGGGATTACAAAGAATGAAAATTAAATAAAAGTCTGAATATAGAGAGGAAATGACAAAAGATGAACGGGATTCAAGAAGGTAGATGCCGATTGATGTTGCGTTTAAATTTTTGAAGATTGTATTTATCAAAGGACGCAAGTAAAGGGAGGGGAGTTCCATTAAACAAGCCGGAAGTGCAAGAAAAGAAACTGTTAGAGTATCTGGGGAATTTTGTGATTGTCGGACCTGGGAAATGTTTAACTTGGCCCAAAACTGCTGCGTCATCCACGGTCACTGATGGAATCTGTGGTATGGTGTGACGACCACTGCTATAAACAGCGGAAGTGAACGGGAACGCCATAGTTTAGTTCACATGCGCGGCAAAAGTCATGGTCATCCTGTGCCAATCGGTTTCACTCTGCATACTTTAGATACGTTAACATATCAACAATACAGATTCCTTTTGATCAGACCTCGTATATTAACGGGGATGTCTGAAAAGTAAGTCTTAATATATGTGCATAAAGCGATTGGAATAAAAACCCAAAATAATCAGGGCGGAAGTGTGTTGTAATACTTCTGTAACGGCCAGGACTGTCTTAATATTGAACGCATGCGTATGTGATGTCACACCATAAATGTGCGAAGTGTAATAAGAACTGTGTAAAGATGTAAGATGCAACAGAAGTCAACCGATAACATTTTGCTGTCTATGTTAGGAAGCAGGTGTCGGTCTGATGTAGCGCCTATACCGAGGTGAATACCAAGCTGCAGGCTTATTCGTTTAAAGCGTCTGTGTTTATCCACAACACAAATCAACACAGCGCGTGTTGAAGCTTTGATTCAAGATGACGGCGAAAAATTAATGATATTATTGTTAAAATTGTTCTATCAGTCAAGAGCTCCAAAACTAGGACTCGTCATGCCCCGGACACAGGGTCGAATCATCTTCATTCCCTAATATTCCATTGGTAATGAGGAAGTTCCATTCAACCAGCTTCGTTTCCGGAACCGTTACATTGTAGAACAGACACCCGTAAAGTTCCTGCCGAAACCACTATAATCTTAACCTATAAGTCAAACGTTATTTATTTTAGATATTCTAGTGCCCCGACTATAAATTTAAACGTTCTACTAGATTGGCATTTAGGTCTCACTGTTTTAATGTTGAACTAGCTATATGCAACTGCCACTTCTACTCTAACAGTTTTTTTTCTCGCACTTCCCACTTGTGGAACTCCCTTCTGATTTCTTGCTTCCCTGATAACTACAATCTTCAAAAATTTAAACGCAATGCCAATCTTCTGTCTTCTTGAGCCCTGTTCTTTTTTAGTCCTTTCCTCAATTCTCAGTCTTCTTATTCTGTTTCATTTCCACTCCGTATAACCTCCCTTGCGTCTTGGTGGCATTATTGCCTTTCTTGGGATGAAACGATTAAAAAAATATGTCCAAAGAATTTCAGCTGTCTTTTTCTGAGTTTGTGTTTTTTTTTTTTTTGCCAGTTTCTTTGAACTTCTTTGTTGATACTGAGTTTATAAAGACTTAATAAAAGAAAATTGTTTATAGCTACGATCGTCTACGTCTTCCAGGGACATTGTACGTAAATGAGACGGGGAGGGGGAACTGGTCAGATTTTCTGTCGGTTACTCAAGTCATTCAATATGGACTTATCAGTAATTACATCGTTCTACAGCGATAACAGGCAAAAAAGAACGGGGAAGCCATTTCGTGACAGCTGTTGCTGATCGAATCAAAGTAAGAATAGACAATTCAGTTAAGAGAACGGAGGGTTATTTGTATAGTGTTCTCATATTTATGATACAGGTTTATTGACCGTCAGTTGTAATAAAAGGTTTATTTTTAGTATCTTGTATTTAGAGAATTGATATTCGCACTAGTGAGTCAGTGGAGATAATGTGACAACATTGAAAAGTAGTCCAGACTACGCATTTCACCTCCTTATATCAGGCGTCATCCAGCTAGTATGAGAGATAAATCCGTGTGTAAGCGTTGGAATTTGTAGGAAGTGGTAATAAATTTCTTCATCGGATGCTACGGCCGGAAAATTGTTTTTTCTTTCTTTTTGTATTGGTGATGTGGATGATGGTGTAATGGATAGTGGCTCAGAAGTGTTAATCGGCGAACCAAGATCGATTCCCAGTCTAGTTTGCTACATTTAATTACGGGCAAATACCCTTGCAAAAGGTATAGATCTATCTCTTCTTTCCCAAGCAATATGGTAACCAGTTGAACAAACCGGGGTTTTCAGCTTTGTTTGGCAGCCGGTCTATGAGAAGAACAAATCTTAATTCGAAATTTTATATAGCCCCGGCAAAGTGCATACGATGCCTCTAAAGAAAGGATCGGAGAGTATTTTTCTTTTTTTAAATATAAAATAACTCCAAGTACTTTTTTTAAATATAAAATACCTCCAACTACTCTTTTTTAAATATAAATTACCCCCAAGTACTCTTTTTAAGCATAGAATACCTCCAACTACGCTTTTTTAATTATAAAATACCTCCAACATAAAAAATATAAAATACTTCCAAGTACTCTTTTCAATATAAAATACATCCAACTACTCTTTCTTTAAATAAATACCTCCAACTACTATTTTTTTAAATATAAAATACCTCCAACTACTCTTTTTTAAATGTAAAATACCTCCAACTGCTCTTTTTTTAAATATAAAATACCTCCAACTACACTTTTTCTTAAATTGGACTATTCGAGTAAATTAGTGTATAACGAAGTACTAATTTGACTACAAAAAGAGAGAGGCAGGTAGATTAAATTTGACTATGACGACGTAGTAATCTCAAGATTTCCTCAAAGATGAAGAAGAGACTCTAGGCGACAGAGATGTGGTTCTACAGAAGGATGCTAAGGATATCATGGACTGAGCCTGTGAGCAACGATGAGATCTTAGAGGGGTTGCAAACAAGAAGTCTTATACTTAACATCAGAAATAGGCAGCTAAAGTTAATGGGGCACATAATAGGAGGAAGGAGGGGCTGGAGAATCTGATACTCACGGGTCGAATAGAGGGAAAGAGAGACAAGGGAAAACAACGGATGACATACCTGATGAGCTTGAGCAAGTGGATGACAGAACGTGGCCTGGGGGATGAAGCAGACGGAAGGAACTTGTTGAGAGCTGCAAGGGATAGAGGGAGGTGGAGAGCGATGATCGCCTACGTCATGAAATGAAAAGGCGCATAAAAAGAAAAAGAAGTAATCCGACGCCTAATCTGCCGAAAAATTCCTATGTCAAATCAACTCCACCCAATCAGCGACGCCAAATGGGCTACGCCGAAACGTCTGATTCCGAATTTTACCGATTAGAATTTATCACCATGGGGTCATTAGTTCGTATACCGCATTATGATAATATCGATTTTTGCGATGATCGGTGATATTGTACGAGCCCGGTCTGATGTTGGCCATAGTGAATTTTGAGATCTGTGCACTACTGCATCATTAAGATTTTACAAATATTAATTTGGTCGCTGTAGTAGACGTTAGAAATGCAAGTGCAATTGTCTTATTTAATGAATAACTTCCTGTTTACAGACCCGTTCTGTGTATGACGATAAACTACATCCGCGTCCTGGTAAGACGATAAACTACGTCTAATAGCAAGGCTTCTGATCAGGAGACTTTGAAAAGCGTGGAACCACCTCTTAATTGCTGGCGTTGCCAGATCCACCCAGCCCCGGAGTGGTAGCACCTGTTAGGGTCCCAGCTATGGACAAATAGTTGACACCCAAACTTGTGTAAAAATAGGTTTTAATACCAGAAATACTTTGTAAAAAAAATATAACCAGCAATAATTTTTGAAGGAAATATTATTATCAACAATACTTAAAAAAAAAAAAGTACTAGCAATACAAAGAGCGATACAATCTTTGAAAAAAAAAATATTACCAGCTATAGATTTCTTCAGGGAAAAATATTTCTAGAAATAGATTTTTGAAGAAAAACATATTACCAGCAATAAAAGTTTTGTCGGCATTAAATAACCCATTGGGGTGTTGATATGCCGTAAAACAAACCTGTTTACAGACACCTAGAAGGTTAGTAGTAGAGTATGTTTAATAAGTATCTTCACAATTTATATTCTGTATCGACTTACGGCCATACTACGTTGAAACATTGGTTCCCGTACGATCAACGAAGTTAAGCAACGTTGAGCCGGCTCGGTACCTAAATGGGTGACCGCTTACGAATGCCGGGTGCTGTAAACTCGGAATACAGGGGGTTTAATAGATAACAACTCCGAATTCGTTATCGGAGACTCAAGTTCCAATTCCAGTTGGGTTCATTATATTCACTCACGCGCACTCTTGGGAAAAACTATGAACCCACCTCTTTTCCACTCACCTATCGATTAATTAATAAAACTTCTCTAACTAAAATCATTATTATTCCCCACCCCCTCCAAAAAAATCTTACAATCAAAAAAATATTTTCTGGCTTTAAATAACCTGCAAAAGGTTGATAAACAATAAAAAAATAATTATGGATTTATTTTGGGGGTTTATGTCATCCTTACAGTATAAGATTTGTGTGTCCATCATGGTACTTCAGAGAATACTTTCATAATATTAAACATTATTCTACACTGACGTGCCAAATGTTAACGCGTACAGGTATACAGCAGTAATAGTAGATGGCACCATTATTCATTGAAAATGATTTCTATCAGTTATAATGGCTTATCACCACATCACATTGGAACACCGGTTCCCGTACGATCACAGAATTTGAGCAATGTCGAGTCTGGTCAGTACCTAGGTGGGTGACCACTTGAGGCTACCAGGTGCTGCAAACTTGGATGTGCTGGTGGTGTAATAGATAATGGTCTGGAATTGTTAATAGGGGGGTCGAGTTCGTAATATTCATCTAAACGCTAATACCCTTAGTAAAGGAATGAATCCACCTCTTCTCCCCAGCTATGGGTTAATTAGAAAGACTTGTATCCCTAAATCGTTACCATCTTCATAAAAACAATTCTTAGAATCTAAAGATATTTTCTGGCTTTAAATAACCTACAAAGGATTGATAAGCTATAAAAAAAACGAACCAATCAATCATATATAATAACTGCCCTATATGACGACATATAAAACGGTCGGTGCTATAAGACGGGCCCCAATTTCAGCAGGGTAAATCAAGAAAAAATTAGTAAAATTATTAATAAATGATACAGCCTAGGCTATATCTATGAGGTATTATTTTGGTTAAACAAGCCATGATTACAATTAAACGACAAATAATAGTAAAAAAAAACAAAAAAAAAAAAAACACGAGCCTATAAAAAGTATATTATATCCAAAGGTAAGAAAACAAAATAAAAATCAAGCAATTATTAAAATTGAGCAAAACAATACAGTTACCATTAAAATTTTATTCATCTTCAAATTCATAAAATTCGTTGTCTTCATTATCAAAACTCTGATACTCATTTTTAATGCAACTATCATCGTCGTTAAATAATACGCCATCTTCCGTTCCATTGTGAGCATTGCCAATGCCACACTTTTAAAAAGATTTCACAATTTCTGGTCTAATATTATTCCAAGCTTGCTTCACCCATTCTCAGACTTATGCAATGCTGGGTCTTTTTATTCTTCCGTGATCAGGCATTGCCACCCACGTGTTCCATTACTCTTTCATATTTAAGTCTAAGCTAATAGGAGTTCGGCCGACTATCGCGAATTTTAAATCTACGTATGGTATATAAGATGCAGGGGAATTTTAAAAGATATTTTTAGTAAAAAAAAAAAAAGAAAAAAAGTGCGCCTTATATTCCGTCAAATACGGTACATAGTCTGGCATCAAGCGAGTCAGCTGGAGACGGTCGTAAGATTGTTAGGGATCAACAAGCTTCCCGCACTCTGATTGCTTATTAAGGCAATCCAGCACGTAATGATGGAACCCTGGCCATAAATTTCATGAGATATGGGAACAGAAGACCCACCAGGGCCCCCTGTTATCATTACATCAACCAGAGCACCACAAGTGGATCCTGTGGAACTAGCAACGTGCTTCGTGATCCGATGACCTACAATTCCAGTTGTTTCGGGTTGATGACAGGATTTGAATGTGGCGTACTCACCTCCAATGAAGCTATGAAGCCAAATTATCAACAATGTATTGTACAATCTGGTGGTGTTCAACGATAGCATGGGTTATGTTTATATAACATGGGTTGGATTGGTCTGTTAACATATACACATTATTGAACAATGACCGCTGAGTTGCATCTATTCATAGACTTCAGTATCCCACAACAACTAAGTTTTTCCAGCAGGTTCATATGCGCTGTGTCACTGGGACTATGTTCGTTTTAAGGAACATTCGCCAGATATCCGAGGAATTGCGTGACTACAGCGTATGTTCGACGAATCAATCATTTATAAAACCTACTGGAAAGATCCGTACGCACGTAACTATTCAAGGATTAAAGAAACGAAGGGCCTTATTGTTATGGGATCTTACCCATAATAAAAATAATAATGGACTATTCCATACTTAATAAATACTGCGCCTCAGGGTAGGTAGAAGAGTCTGTCGCTCACTTTCTGAGCGACGGTTCGGTTTACCTCTCTGTCTACGGACGAGAGGAACCCGAAGGAGGCTACGCCGAAGGACGGAGTCTCCTTCGGGGGAGGTAAAAACGGCCTGAACCCGTTTATACGGGTTCAAATGGCTATTTTTGGCCGAGCCTAATGGCTCGGAAATACCCCGTTAAAAAAGGCCTTGTGCCCGAGCGCGCCCTCGTGGGGGACGACTAAATATAGTCTGTCGCTCACTTTCTGAGCGACTGTTCGGTTTAACTCTCTTCCTACGGGCGGGAGGAACCCGAAGGAGGCTACGCCGAAGGGCAGAGTCTCCTTCGGGGAGGTAAAACCGGCCCTGAACCCGTTTATACGGGTTCAAATACAAACCTTTATTTTTGGCCGAGCCTAATGGCTCGGAAATGCCCCGTTAAAAAGGCCTTGTGCCACATGACACCCTCGTAGGGGGACTGAATATTGTCAGTCGCTCACTTTCTGAGCGACTGTTCGGTTGAACTCTCTATCTTCGGGCGGGGAGGAACCCGAACGAGGCTACTCCGAAGGGCAGAGTCTCGTTCGGGGAGGTAAACCGGCCCTGAGCCCGTTTATACGGGTTCAATGGGCATATTTTTGGGCTCGGAGATCCCACATTAAATAACCGACCTTGTGTCACATGCTGCCCCAGTAGGGCGGGGTGACTGAATATCGTCATTCAATGGTTCAAGTCGAGTCAAGAGTCGAGTCAGATGCAGTCCGAAACAGAGTCGCGTTCAGACAATTACTGCAAGACATTGGAATAGTGATACTGGTCGAGACTACATTGTTCTCTCTACTAAACCTGATTGTTCGTACTAACACTTCTACTTCTCTGTATATATTCCTGTTTGTAATGTATCTGTGTTATTCCATACCTGTGTTCGAGTTCTTCTTTATTGGTTCTACCTTGGACTATCACCGTGGTACAAGGAACTGGACCATAACACTTATACGGTCTACTTTGTAATCATAAGCCATTGTCTATTAGTAGCTCGAATTACACAGAACCCTCGTATTGGCAGCGATAGGTAACATTTTTATTACTTTGTGTATTTTATTTATCTGTGAACGCACAGTTGGTGTAATAGCAGCTCAGGATTCGGGAATCAGAGGACCGAGTTCGTTACATTCACTTACGCACTTACACCTTTGGGACATGAATGAATCCACCTCTTCTCTCCCTAACTATGGGTTAAATAGTAGAACAGACAAAGGTCTTCAGCTTTGATTAGCAAACTCTATATTCAAAACCGTATGTAACCCGAGCGAAATATACAATATAAGGAAAGGATCGTAGCAAGGAAATAAATCGATTTAGACGTAAGCGTGAAAGAATATGAGAAAAATGTTGAAAATTATTATTAAGAAAAGAACAGTAATTAAGAAGACAGAAAGTAAAGATTGACATTGCATTTAATTTTTTTTTAAAATAGCAGGACAGACTGAGCACATTAGCCGTGGTTGGCAATCAGTCTAGCAGAAGGACAACTTTATTATTAAGGATAATGATTGAGATTTCATTTAAATTTTTGAAGATCGAAGTTAACTTGAAAGCAGGAAGACGGAAGAGAGTTCCACAAGTGAGAAGTGCAAGAGAAGAGACTGTTAGTATAAACGTCCGTGCATTGAGTACTGTTACCATATCTAGTCTGGTGTACCAACTGTTTACTCGACAAAATCAAAAGAAGGATCTGCAATTTAATCAATCCTGACCTGGCATCTCGACTCCAGTCACTTTCTCACAGACTTGACATGGTTCCGCTCTTTCTTTTCTACAAATATTTTCATGGCTACTCTTTTGTCGAGCCCTTTTCCCGGGTGCCCCGACAACATAAATTTAAGCGTGCTATTAGTCTAGCTTTTAACATTCGCAACAATCATGAGATCAAAACACTCTCAGATAACATCGTCAAATGTGTCGAAGACTACAAGTATCTAGGATCACACATCAAGAACTCTGAGAAAGACTTCAACATTAGGAAAGGCATAGCATGGACTGCTTGTAACAAAATGGATAAGATCTGGAAATCCAATCTTGCTCGTCAATTCAAAATCCAACTTTTCCGCGTCCTTATTGAGCCAATCTTACTCTATGGCTCTGAAACTTGGACTCTCTCAGCAAAACAACAGCGTCGTTTAGATGGATGTTATACGTCTTTTTAAGAAAGTGCTTAATCTCTCATGGCGAAACCACCCAACTCTAGAAATGATATATGGTGACTTGCCAAGAGTATCAACTTTAGTTTGCAAAAAGACGTGTCCAGTTCGCCGGGCATTGTGCACGTGCCACAGATGAACTTGTGTCATCATTTGTACTCTGGAGGCACGCATCATCTGACAATCGATCACGCAAGTTAACCTTTCCAGATAGGATAAAACGAGACACATTGATCCCTAAGGAAGATCTTTTAGGTGCTATGACAGATAGGGAATACTGGAGAGGTGTAGTGAGTTCAATATCGGCTGAGGCCGCAAGATGATGATGATTTAGGTCCCTTTTACCGTTGAAATAGTTAAATGTAACCGCCACTTCTACTCCAACAGTTTCTTTTCTCGTACTTCCCGCCTGTGGAATTTCCTTCCGTTTAATTGCTTCCCTGATAACGACAACCTTCAAAAATTTAAATACAACGTCAATCGCAATCTTCTGATGTCTTGAAACCCCGTTCATTTTTTTTCTTTTTTTTTTTTTTAAGCGTTTCACCCCAAGCAAAGCGGAAAGCCACTAGGATGCAAGGGTTTACAGAAGATTTGGAGCAAGATCAGATAGGAGTGATAGAGGAAAGGAGGAGGAGAAGGATAGATCAAGGCAACTGGAGATGTCGATTGACATTACATTTGAATAGTTGGAGATTATAGCTCTCAGTAAAACAGGAATAGGGAAGGGATTTCCACAGGCGAGAGGTCCGAGACATGAAGCTATTGGAGTAGAAGAGACGGCTACATTTAGGAGTTTCGACAGTGAAAGGGTGAGAGAGGGATGCCAGCCTCGTAGGGCGCTTGAATTAGTGATGTCTGGGAACCAGCGAATCCAGCTCCTCTTTTATCCTTTCCTCATTCTCCCTATAAAGTTTTTTTCTCCCAACTTCTCTCTCTGTAACCAACATGTATACTAGTGGAGTTTACGATTTGCTTGGGGTGAAATGCTTAAAAAAACGCAAAGATAACTTACTGTTACATCTAGCAATTCTAAACGCAAAAGGATGAAACCTAGCGGCCATTTTTCTACGGCG